ACGTTTTGGGACATATGCAGCAGGTACATCAGAAAGATCAGACTTGATACTCTCTGTGAACTCACCTACTGTAATCAGTATCCTTGGGCAAAAAAGTCCCAGTAGCCCACTGAACTCTGTTTCCTTACCTGTCTCAACACCATCACTGCAGTTCTTTCTACCCAAGGATTTTCAAGCTTCAAGCTACTGTCCTCATCACACTTCCATAACTCTAAGGTTTAACCCATAATTTAACATGACTCTCCTTCTATCTTCACAGGGTGGGTCACCAACTCCCTTTGACCGAAACTTTGGAACAAAAATGGGTGCCAAAGCTGTGGCATGGATGTCTGGCAAGATCAAAGAATGCTCCAGACATGGTATGTAGGAGCTTTCCACTGGATTGCCTCTTAGATTGGTGGGCAGCTGCACCTGTGTTGATAATAAACAGAATAGGGGAGAAATCAATTACAGTAGGCAAAGAAGTATCTACACCAGAGGTTTGATGCTATCTATGATGGTCTTGATTCTTGGGGTCTATTGGTCAAAGTCAGTGCTTAAGATCTTTTCACATATATTCAAAGCCCGATGCAGTACTTAATTCAAAGGGTTTGTTTTTTTTAATGGAAGACTTTTCTGCTAAATTCCAATGTATCACTTTACACCCAATGTTTCAAAGTAAATGCTTTCCAATAGAAGAATAATAACTCAAGCTTCCATAAAATATGTTAACATTTTATGTGTTCCTTTTGCAGGTCGTATCTTTGCCAACACTGCTGATTCAGCTTGCCTGCTGGGTATGCGGAGACGCGCCTTGGTATTTCAGCCAATGACGGAACTCAAAGAAGAAACAGATTTTGAGTAAGTCTTCTCTCTAGGAAAAATCAGAAAGTGTACCACGGAAAGTTAGGTAAATCCACAATATTAGTTGGGAACCGAAGAATCTTTTAAAAATAGTTTCTAGCCCTCATTGTTAGAATAAAATACTCAAACCTAATATGACTTGCATGCAACTGTTATAGGTATTTACTGTGTCACTTATTCTTCTGATCTTTTTGTGGTGAACCATAGGTTCAGAAATCTAAAAAATGGCAGAGGAAAGGGAAGGCTAAAGTTGGATTTTTTTCTGACAATGGAACAAATGTTTCAGGCTTAATCTGCAGTGAGGCATTGTAGAGGATAAGGAGGTAGAGGAAGACTAGGAAAATCCAGATTCTAATGCAACTTCAGCCATACGTTCAGCCCAACATAGTCACAGAGCTGGTTTGTGCGTATGAGCTGTCTTGAATTCCTTGAGGAAAACAGGATATGTGTCTAATTAATAATATGAAGTTCAGCTTATAACTGAATGACTTAAATAACTTGACCGTGATTCATTGAACCTGATTCATTTCACATGTAATGCTAAGTTATAAATTAAGGTTATATACACAAGCAGAATTTGGGGAATGTTTCTCCTCCCAAGTTCCAGTTTAGTAGATTTCTGGCTTGTTACATGAATGCTGATTTAAAATAAAATTCTAGTTTGTTAAGCAAGCGCAGACTTCAGTGTTTTAGGTATGTCTGTTTTTAAAATGTCAATTGTTAAATAACTCATAATTCACTTTAAACAAACTAGGCATCTGCTGGAGTGAAATTGAATTCTTTGTTCTTTATTTGATCATGTGGTAGAAAATCTTGGAATAGGTTCATTTCTATTTGTGTAGGCCAAAACACAGGTATATTTTATTTGTATCCCACCTTTATTATTTGTACAAATAACAAATAAAGATGGTGAGCATACCAAATGCTCAATGTCTATGGAGATTCTCAGTCATCCAGGTCATGGTTGTCCCAAAGGTGCTTTTTCAAGAGGCAACTGGACTTTCTGGTTTTTCTTTGAAGACGTTTTGCTACTCATCCAAGAAGCTTCTTTAGCTCTAGAGCTGAAGAAGCTTCTTGGACGAGAAATGAAACGTCTTCAAAGAAAACCAGAAAGTCCAGTTGTCTCTTGAAAAAGTATCCTTGGGACATACCTAATGCTCCTTCCTCCTCCTGCTTTCCCCTCAATAACTCTGAGATGGGTTGGACACGGGTGAAATCCAGCAGGTTCTGGAGAACTGGTAGTGGAAATTTGAGCAGTTTGGAGAACTGGTAGCAGAAATTTTGAGTAGTTCAGAGAACCAGCAAATCCCAGTTCTGGCTGGCCACAGAGTGAGGTGGGAATGGAGATTTTGCAATATCCTTCCCCCAGGAGTGTGGAAGGAATGGGGATTTTGCAGTATCCTTCCCCTGCCATGCCACACCACGCCCACCAAGCCACGCCCACAGAACCGATAATAAAAAAAATTGGATTTCACCACTGGTTGGACAGAGTGAGTGTCTGGCCCAAGATCACCCAGCTGGCTTTCATGGCCTAGATGGGATTTGAACTCATGGTCTCCTGGTTTCTAGCCTAGTGCCTTAATCGCTAGACCACTATGGTTTAACTTTGTGAACATGCCCATTCTCATAGCTTCCTACAAGTTTCCCAACCTCAGGTAAATATCTCTCAAAGACAGAGTAGCTGCAGCCACCAAATATGTTGCATTGGAATGGATGACCCTGCCATGAAGATACTGACCTTACTTTTATCCTTCTTTGACAGTCATCGTATCCCGAAAACGCAGTGGTGGCTAAAGCTTCGTCCCATCTTGAAGATTCTAGCCAAGTACAAGATCGAGCTGGACACCTCAGAGAAAGCCCACTTGGAGCACATCACTCGAAAGAGAGTATCTGGGGAAGGCGCCTTGTGAACAGTTAGCAAAGCAGGTGCAGCTGTTCCTCCCCTTTCAGTCATGGCATATAAGGAGACATCTAAATAAATTACAAATCCTTGGTTCCTTCCCCAGGTTAGCATGCAGCTTTCCATCTAGTGTTATGTACTGTAATTGGAGCCACGTGCCTATTATAAATGGCATATCATTACATCACACGATAGCTGATACTTGGCAAAACTTTCTACTGTTGTTTACTGTTGGAAAGTTCAAAGCAGCTTAAATACGGTAGGTTCCCTGCTGGCCTTTCCATCCGGATAATAGCTAGGGTCTTAGGTTTATCAGTATTATATAATCATATGCTTCTAGGCCTTCTTTCTCCAGAGTGGAATGGACTATTGCTGCCAGATTTTCCTAGTCAATCTCGGAAAGATTAGCCAAGGCGATTTGCTGCTCAAGGAATGTACTTCCAATAGAATTCTATTCATCCGGTCATCATTCAAATCGGAAAGAATTATTGTTATTAAAACATTTTGGTCATCTGAATGCCAATCCCAAAATAGATTCAACTCATCCAAGTGCTCAAAATAAAAAACACAGGAACTATTTGACTAGAAGTTGTAATATCTCTGCTCCCTGTTTCATTTTAATTGTCACCGCTCTCTGTATTGCAAGTGACAGACCCAGTCTGTGTAGTCATTGTTGAATACTGTATCTTGTCATTCTTGTCTCTTCCATTCCCAATCATATTTGTCCTTCTTTATCCACAGCAAGCTCCAGATTGATTTAAAGGGAACACTGCATAGGCAGGATCTGATAATCCTCTGTGGGGGTTTTTTATGTATAACAGGAAAGCAAACCCACAAAGAAGCATCCTTGTAGACACTTTGTTTGTCTATAAGGATAGTATTTTTGCTCTTTGGGTAAATGCTTATGTAGACATTAAACTGGTGAAGCCTGTATACTAGGGCAGCTCTTGTGAAGCGGTGACTGGGTAAACATGTAGCTTTAGAAACGGCTTTTAGAATATTGGCAGAATGGCACATTTGGTTCTTTTTGTACACATGGAAGTAGGACTAAAATCTCTATGGACTAGTAAGTAAATTGGCTAGTTTAGAGAATTTTTGTTCTCCAACCTCACAAAGCAACTACCGTAAGATTAAAGTGTGAACAGAATGGCTACCATCATGATCTAAAAATAAGTCCATTTAAAAATAAAGGTGGAGTTAAAAGGTTTCAAAGATACAACATGGAAAAGCCTTTTCAGAAATCATGATTTTTTAAGTGGAAGAATGGGCAGGTGGAACACCAAGCTTAAACTTTTTACCAAAAGAGAATAACTTCCTTGGGCAGTTGGGTTGCAGTGGATGGATATTCTTCTCGCCGGTAGTCCATTAATTTTCCTGGCCCATTCACAGTTGCACAAACCAGCCCATGTGTGATGTTTCCTGACATCCTAATATCTACTGTTAAATTTAGGAAGGGCCAGGCCATTTTAGCACGGCTCACAACTTTCTTCCATTAGTGTTTATGGAAGTACCACTGTGGAACTTTCCTGAATATTCTGGGAAGCCTACAGCAGAGCAGGAACCTATGCTGGGTAACCCTAAAAGCAGGCTCAAGGGAGCAAACAGGACAAAAAACCCAACATTTGAACAGTGGATGAAAATAAAGGACAGCCACCAATATTATATAGGCTTTAGTGTGTAATCAAGATGAATGAAAAGAACAGCTACAAGAAGGGAATTTAGCATTTGCCCTTATGACTGAATTAAAAGTCATTGTGGGTTTCTCCAGCAGAATTATCTATCATACATACTTCTGTTAATATTGAATGCAGGCCTACGAAATAACTTAACAATAACTTTAGAAACAAAATCCAGCTGTTGATTGGTACTTTTTCTATTAAGGATCTCCCTATTATTTGGATGTATTTAGCCCCTTTCACTAAAGCTACCCACTCACAATGTGGCCCGTTCATATTATGTTTCTGCTTTGATGAAATCCACTTAATTATCATCATTGAACTAGTTTACCTCGTTCATCTATCCCCAAGTTTAGATTTCAATTTTCAAAATTCCATAATCAGAATTATCACTATTGAGAATCAGTGTACCCACACATCTGGTGAATGCGAGCTGGCCTACCTTATGAATATAAAAATAAGGACTTAAGCAGGAAGAAATCAGTCAACTTGCAGATAGTCAAGAAGAAGAAAAATAACCATATGAAGCATTCTTATGAAGACATAAACAACAGAATAGAAACTCTCCAGTACAATGTAAATTTAATCAACAAGCTTTTAATATCAAGTCATCTGCGCACTGAACAAGCGTTCCTCCACAACCAAGCACTTCAAAAAGAGCACTTTGAGCTTACAACATGATTTTTCTTGTAAGCAGGTCCAGATCTATATGAAGCAGAAGACATAGCAGGGGGAAACAGAACCATCTCATACTGAATTATTCCTTTGGAATTTGGGGGAGGGTTGTATGCGTGAAACAAAGAACAAAATTGTTTTGAAATGTTTCCCAAATCATCTTAGTCCAGCTCCAGTTCAACAGAAAATCTGAAAAGTGGTGCTTCTGGGTTTTGGTTAAACCAAAATCTGAATCCTAGAGGGATTTCTTGAGGCAAAGAAGCAAGATAGTTACACTTTGCTTCCTTTCTCCTCTCCTTCTACAAGTGGTTGTGTTCCAACTCTTGTATTGAATAAAACAAGACTCGTTTTGTTCAGAATACGGACCTAGACTTCAAAAACACATATTTCAGCTGTGGTGACTGACTATCCAAATGCAGATGTTCTATGTAGAAAATATTTTTTCACTTCCCTATTTCTGTATGAAAGGTGTAGGCTGTGGCATTCTAGTATTGTTAATTTGCCCAAGCAATAAGAAAGGAAACACATCAAGAAGAGAATGATGACTCTGTTCACATCTAGTAGATTCCACAGTCCAGAATCATAGAATGTATTTCAACAATTAATATAGTTTATTCCCACATTGGCTAATTTTCAAGATGGCTGTTAAGGGTTCTAATTCCCATCTTCCTTTCTTCAAAACAGAAGCAAGGATATTATCCTGAGCAGATAGGAGACACTCCAGCAATCGATGTGACAGCCAATACTCCAATCTTGGGAGAATAGCCCCCCCACCCCACCCCCCAAAAAAAGGCTTATGGTCAGAAATTATAATTCCATTTCTGAAACTGAATAGCAGATAAAACAGTGGTTGTAATTACAATGCCCACACACCCAGGCCATTGGACTTGCTCAGTGAGTCTCTTGGCACTTAAAGCTCCAAATGTCTAAAGGGGGTAATTGGGGCGTATTCTCAGCTCTCCTGCATTCATAAGGATGCTGCTTCATTTGTCCGAACCAAGAGAATTATTTGTGAAAGAAACACATATGCAATTTTACGTGTCTACAACTTTACACTGATCGACCTTTAAAGAAATGGCAGATATAGACCTTAATAAATTCGACTTGTCCCCCCTCCCCCAATTTTTCATTTTGATTAAAACAGATCAAGGCAATGGAAGCAACAGAAGCTTGCCACAAGAGAATTACAATCATAATTACATGGCAAGAAAAGTGTATTTTAACTTGTGTCCAATGGGGAAACCCATTGAAACATTTGAAAGATGTCTTAAACTTTTTTAAAAAATGAATACTTTCTTTGCCATTTCTTTGCTTGGGCACACTAGAACTGTACAATAATAAAGAATGTGCTGGCAAATCAGAAACTGACTATATTAGATAGTTCCATTGCTGCTAGGCTCAATATGAGCCTAGTAGCATTGTCTGGAGCTGCAAAGTACAGGAAGTTGAAAGAACATTCTGGAAAGCTTTAAAGCAGTGAATAAAATATGTAAAATGTTTCCATTCTTCAGCCACATCAATTTGTTTTTTGGTGCTAGGAGACAACCGGCTCTGTGAATGTTTCACAGAGAACAGAAGTCAAATCCTGAATTTAGGAAGTGGTCTTTTTCAGGAGGTGGAACGTAGGCTTGTTTCACTTGGGTCTTTTGGCCATAAGAAACCAGAAGTCCTTTCCTAGCCTCTCTCCTTCATTAAAGAAAGGTCAGAAGGATACTATAGCAAATGGAGAAGCTAAGGGAAAACACTGGACAAAACACAGATGTCACCCCAGCTGACTCCTGGAGCTACATCTGTAAAATTATTTTGTGCCGATGCTACCACCGCCAAGATGAAATGCCAGGTCCACTGTGCATCACCAATGTGCTGGTTAATACAATCCTATTTTAAAAAAAAGAAAGAGGAAGCCATCATTTAAGCAAGACATATTCTTTCAAAGATTCTGGCAGAGGCAGTTCCTTCACTGCGTCTGGTAGGAACTGCATACCCAGGCTGTGGCGCACAGCATAACGCGAGAGCGTCTTTAATGTGCCTGGGACAGAGCATAGCGTGGTAAGCTTTTCACAAAGCTGCTGATCTCGCATAACCTCGCGTGGCATCGCACCATTTTTCCTCAATTCGAAGTGTCCAACGGCTCTGTGAAGGAGATCGAAGCAGGAATCTTCCCTTTCGGTGCCAAGTCCTCTGACCAGCAGGGCAACTAACCTTGAAATTGGGGTCTGCCCCTTCATATTGACTATCCGGACTTCAGCTCCGTATTCCAGGAGGATGCTGACGCTCTCCAGGTTGCCCTTCATTGCTGCCCAGCTCAGAGGGGTGTCGTTATTATAATCCAGAGCATTGACAAAGGCCCCGCTTTCCAAAAGTGTTCGGACACATTCGGCATTGTTTTTAAAGGCAGCCCAGTGCAGTGGGGTGTCCTTATTGCCATCCAATGCATTGGGATTTGCCCCATATTCCAAAAGGATCTCCACACAGGTCTCATCCTTTTCAGCTGCATAATGAAGGGCTGTTCGATTGTAGCCATCAAGGGCGTTGACCTGAAAAAACAGGAGGAGGAGGAGGAGGTGGGGGAAGGTGCTTTCGGTGTGATTAAGAGCTATTAAAAAAATGACCCATAAGCTCAGTAATGGGATAGAGGAATCCTTCATTCAGTTCAAGTTTCCATTAGGACTGAGCACTCCATCAGGCAAAGCACTTTGTACAGTATAGCAATCTTTCTCAAAATACAGATCTTCTTTCTTGACTACTTAATCTGGATCAAACCTTAAAAATCTGCAAAGAAATTACTGTGGTATCCTGTCTATATGTAGAAATATGATATTTCTGATAGCTTTCTCCCTATTTATGGAAGAAAATTAACTGTAATTCATAATACAACAGATGAGAAAACTAAAACACAAAATTCTGTTGTAACAGAATTAAGTGACAAAAAAAAATAAAAGCACTATTTGAAAACAATGGCCGGGATACAAATCTCAAGAGAATATGAGATTCTGAAATATACATCCTCCTTAAGTACAACAGGGCAAAGTATTGTTATTCAGAAGGATTTTTCACATTGGAGCATTTTACTTCCCGGTTTTTGCCTTTGAGAATATATAGTATAATATTTTTCAACCATCCAATCTTACACCATTAAGTATTTGATAAATCCCATTAAAGTATTTGATAAATTTAGTTATAACCACTGGCTTAATTGGGTTCCTGAATTTGTTTTTCAAAAGGCTTGTGCTTCTTCTTACCTGAGCTCCTTTTTCCAACAACAGCTCAATGCAATCTGCATCAGCCACCATGCAAGCACAGTGCAATGGTTTCAGCGTACCATGCATACAGTTGACATCTGCTCCCTGGAAAAACGGAGGAGAAACAAATGAAGGATACTAATCGTGTACTTCTAATCCAGCAGCCACAACCGTTACAACACCTTTACACGATCAACTTGCCATTTAAAAGCAGGAGCGATTAGGGCATCTTTAATTTATGAACTGAAATACAGAGGCTGAAATTAAAAAGCAAGTTTATCATCAAGCTCCTTGTGTTTATTGCTAATTTTCTATTGTCTCAACATTTCAAAAATAGTAGTGTAATAGCGGCGAATCTGACAGATATTCAACTATGACATATTCAACAAGGCCTGGTTCTTCTGTTTAAGACAGCTAGGAAAATAAAAAACAGGACTGTCTTTAAATTTTTACAAGGCACACTGTCAATAGATTTGGAAGTCGATTTAAAATTTACAATTTAGCTTGGTTGATTATAACTTTTCTGTTTCTAACCCTTCCATTCAATCCTGTCCTGATCTGAGAGTCTGCCTGGACAAGAGCTTGCAGTTTTCTTGGTAAGGTTTTTCAGAAGTGGTTTGCCCTTGCTTCCTCCTTCTTAGGGGCATGTGAAAGTGATTGACTCAAGGTGACCCAGCTGGCTTCATGTTTAAGGCAGAACTAAAATTCAGTTCCTTGTTTCTAGTCTGATGCTTTAATCATTAGACCAAACCAGCTCTCAACTTCTTTCTTTCTTTCTTATTTAGACTACAATTTAGAAAAAAAGTAATGAACTTCAGTCTAGCTCTTCCATCACAAATTGCTGTATGATTCCACCACCCCCCGTCTCCAATTAAAACAATACCTGTTTACATATACTTCATCCCCTATAAAAAGGAGAGTGTATATGTCTAGAGAATTAGAGACCGACCATTCCCTCTCCTACCAATCCAATCCTACTTTTTCTAATCCCAAATCAGGACATCCCTGAAGGTAAACATTCTCCTTTATTCCGGTTTGCTTTAAAAAGACTTTCTATTCATAAAAAAACTGCATGCATGACCAGAACATTTCCTCTCCTGATGAAATTCCACTTGTTGCCTTTCTAAAGCAGTTCTCTGACATATCAGTCCCTGGGAAAAAGAAGAAAGTTGATAGAATACTATTTTTCTCTTTCTATAGTGAGACAAGCCAGACTACGTGAATTTAAAAGTGGAGGAAGGAATCCACAGAAATGGACAAAGGAAACGAGGAAGGAAAGTACCAACTAGAGTAAGAGAAGCAAAAGAAATTCAGATTACTGCTGTTACTGCCATCATTCAATCAGAAGAATACTGTATGATACTAGGCAGGACAGTATCAGAGATAGATCTTTCAAGAAAGATCTTTACACATTACACTTTTTAGGAAATAAGCAGAAAGTTTTGCATGAAGATCTACAGAAATTATAAAACCAAAGCTTTTTTTTTCTACTTGTAAAAGGCTAACAGGAATTAGTAGAGAAGTACAAGAAATGTCGAAGTCCTTAGGACAGGATCCTGATTTTCTGATATTCAAATCTCTGAATTTTCCAGATGTACAGACTTCTAACTTCCAGAATCCCTTTACTTTTGCTAAGAATTCTAAGCCTCCATGCATTTGGAGGACATACAAATTGGGGAAGAATACTCCAATATACTAAACCAGCCTTTTTCAACTTTGCTGTAAATCAGGGGTGTCAAACTCGATTTCATTGAGGGCCGCATTAGGGTTATTTTTGACCTCGGGGATGGGGGTGGGGTGGACGTGGCCAGTTCAACATCACTCGTGTTGGGGGCGCCTGTGGTGGTCTGAACGCTCTGCCAGCGATAATGGGCTCCTGAGCTCCGTTTCCAGCTGTGACAGCCTCCTGCTACCCTCTGCCAGCGAAAATGGAGCTCAGGAGGGCCCTGGGCCTTGAGTTTGACACCCTTGCTCTAGATGGAACTGCGCAGTGGCAGAAATTCTGAGCTATACCAGCACATTTTCTGTGGATTATAATAGTCTACTAAATTTAGACAGTATCAGGATAGGAAAGGTCTTTTCTTTTCTGGTACCTTTGAGTCAATCTTGACTCCCCATAGCTCCCTGACTGCAGACTAGCTACAAAACAACTTATATAGCAAAGCAGCTGACAGTATCAATCAAGTTCAATCAAGCATCTCAGCCCCACCAAGAGCTGTGTAATTGGAAACTGCTTGACTATTGCAATTTGACACTGAGAAGTAGTCAAACCTTTTGAAGAAAAAAAAAAGATCAGGCTTGCAGAAGCTTGAAAAACATGGATAAAAGTACTATAAACAGTCTCCTTTCTAACTGGAATAAGTTACATTCCTTTAACTCTGTTTTATAGAGCCATGCATGTATGACAAGAAGCATTATGAACATTCTTTTAAATGTTCTTCCCAACCATTTTTCAATGCAAAATTTTTTCCAACAAGATAATCTCCAAGATCTGAGGACTGCAACTTGGAAAGGCAATGCAGACAGGAAACAGTTCTAGTGTATATGGAAGACATTAAAATAGAAGTTACTGTCCTGGAAGTTACTCAACTGTAGAACATTCATGACAAGACTGTATCTTTTCTATAGTAACTCTTCAAATGTAAAAATTTTGAGGGAGCGAGTTCATCTCATGAGTTTTCGGCGAGTAACTAGAAATACAGTGTTTTTGCCAGGCTTCTGACAGATTTTAATTTCATTCTGGATCATTTTAAAGTGTACTTTGCATTGTTAAATTACAGTTTCTTTTGGGGGCCTTGGTAGATTGAAAAGTAGCTTAGAAATATTATTGCAGCTGAATTTGTGATGAAAAAGTAATAGACTGGGACCAGCCAATTTGATCTCCACAACTGGAACAATTCTTGGAACTTGTGTCAATACATACAGAATTTTAAAAAAACACCTCAAAATATAGTTGCACAGATCATAGTATTAATATAAATTTCTAAGAAGTATATTCTTTTCAAAAATCTTTACATACTCAGACAAGCACATTTCTACCTGCTTTAGAAAGATCATATAATGCCCCTGTTACATAGCTGCTGCCTTTTCTGAGGCAACATCTCCTATATTCCCTTTTCTCTTACACAGAGGCGGAGGAAGGAAGAGTCATGACGACTGTTTCCTACTGCTGAGTGGCATTATACTGCAGTGACAACAGTAGGAAATAAGAACAGAGTTTGGACCATGATACAGAGGAAAGCAGTTTCCATGCCAATTCTGGAGCTGCCAATTCCATGACAAAATCTTCAGGAGAAAGTTAAAAACCAAACTTTACAATATTAGGTATTATGCAAATCGATTCAGAAAACTATTTATATGAAAGTATTATTTTTAGATTGTTTTCCCACCATTTCCTGAACTGTGAGGCACATGATGATGCTAGAAATCCAGCAACTCCTTAAAGATCTACCAAATTTAAGATATGCTATTAGATACTAGCTATTAAATGTTACAGTTATACATTGTCTTATTTGCTGCTGTGTCTCTCACTCAGTTCTCAGTGTATTTACACTTCTTCCCTAGAGTGACATTCTTCAAAACCCAAGGTTACTAAAAGAGTTATACTGTTATGATCTCAGTCTCAAGAGAAATTATCTGATTCTAGAATTCATCTCACACTGTATGAAAAACACTATTTATAGGCAATCTCTTGGGATACAAAATCTTATTTCCATCGTTGTTTCCTTCTGATATATGATATGATCAACAGAAAGAATCCAAGATGAGTGACAGTCATCACTTTTTTCAGTGCTGTTGTAACTTTGAACTATCACTAAAGAAGTGACTGTAAGTGAAGCACTACCTGTAGTAACTGCATTTGAAAAGGATACATTCTCTATCAAACCTGATAAATTTAATTTAGGAGAAAGGAACAGGGGATTTTAAGTAACTCCAAAGGAATCATTATTTAAAACTGCAACCAACACAAGTAAAGTCAGATTCGGTCTCCTAGACCTTGTAAACATTCCCAGAAACTTTTTTAAAAGCAACTAAAAGCTTGTCTTAGATTTTTTCACCTACCCTTCGTATTAGGTCTTCAACATTGTCATGCGGGAAAGATCGGATGGCTGCTATAGTTCGGATCAAGCGCTCTGACAAAGAATATTTACTCTGGATGCTCTGCATAATATACCACATACTGGAGTTCAGTTTCCTTGGTTACTTTACATGCTCCGAGTTGCCTGAAGAAGCACACACAAAAGAAGAACTTTTTAAAAATACAATTTTTTAAAAAAACAACAACAACTATAAATCCCTTCAAGATATATAGTAATAGCATTAAAAAATATTGTCAGATTGTTGCATTCATTAACCTTTGATGGTGAGGAAAAATTAATCAAGAACAACCTGAGGTTTAAGAGGTGGCTCAAACTTACCTGCAGACTACATGTACAACTAAAACGTAATGTCTTCCAAATTAATCCATTCAGATAATAAACTGGTAATGACAGTCATTAGAGAACTAATAAGAGATGATAAAGATGTTTTATGCTTCATGCAAAATGGATTAACTGCATTGAAATGAAGAAATAAAAGAGCAAATTGATGTAAAACATCTTGAAAATAAAATCTGAAATCTTATGAAAATAAGAACATTAATCCAAGTAATTTGGTTGGATTATTTTTTTCACTATTAATTTTTTTTTCTATGCTACCAGAAATACAATTATCTCTGCCACATTTCCAGCAGTCTTTCCTACAATGGATCATTCCTACAATGGATGAAGTCTGCACTTGAAGGTCCTTCTAGAGCTCCAACACCAAATATACAAATGAAGCTCCTCCTACCAATTTAGACTGGTATGATATATACAAAACTATTAAGTAGATGTTGATGGCCTCACTTTAATAACCTACCTATCTGAACTAGTGAAAGCTATGTAGGATCAGATTTGGTTACTACCAATCTCACAGCTGCACAGGTAGATAGGTAGATAGGTAATCAGGCAGACAGGCAGACTCCATAGGAGACTGACAAGACACCTCAGATATAGATTGAGAAAATAAATACATCCCAGTAGATGACATTGGAAAACTACTTCTAAACTGTTGCTAAGAAAGGTCTTTATAAGGACATCAGAAGATGAACTCAACTCAACAGAGACTTGGTTAGACTACTGAATTGGGACTATCTTTAGAGACCATTCTGAAACATCAATTAGTACAAAATACAGCCACAGGAGCATAACTGTTTGTGTTACACCCTTTGGCATGACCTTCACAGGCTGTCAACTCATTTCCAGTCTCAGTTCAAGGTCCTCAAACTAACCTATAAAAGTCTTCCCAAGTTTGGGACCATGGTCTTAACTTTTTCACATATATTCCTATCAGCATCTTAAGAGTTGTTTTTAAATGCCCTGCTACAGTTGCCTTCTAAGGCTAAAATCAGATCCACTGGTTGCCTGGCAGTGGATCTTCTCGATGATAAGAATATCTTCTGCATCACAGTGAAGCATACCTGGTTCCAACTTTAGAATCTTTCTTGCACCAAGCAAAGTTATTTTACTTCCCCAAGCCCTGTACTATATTAATATATACTACAATATTTTAAATGCATGTTGTCTATGTTTTCACTGTTAATATACTGCATTTTAATTACTACTATAGGCTAAAATGTGATTTATTTTTATTGCAAATCTCTATGGAAAAACTATGCTTTGAAGGCTAGTAGGACAGGACATCATTATGGAATATCAAGTTTGTAAATGAGGCAACAAGGTTGTAAAACATCCCCAAAAAGGCACTGACAAACCATAACTATTCAGTACCAAAGTATCATATGTTTGTATTCATATTATCACTAGGAATTAACTGGTATTTTAACCCTTATTAAACAAAATGTTACAATAAATGTATTGGATTAAAAATTCTAGAATTTTTAGCCAGCATGATCAACAGACCTGGAAAAGGTTTGAAAAGGGTGATTTAGATTATTTGTTCCTTTTAAAATCAATGATGCTTCACTGGAGACTATTTGACATTTACATTTCAAACTTCTTATTTCTATTCATAATTTTTGGAATTTGGACTCAAGCACATCACTTAAAATGCAAGTGTTCCCTTAGTTGCAGAGTTACTACCTTGACCACATTTTAAAGCATATTGTAGTTCTGATTCCATTCTTGTTTTTAAATTCCAAATTTTAAAGACTTAGATTAGAATAATTTAGAATAATTTTATTGTCACTTTGAATGTACACCAATCGGCACACAGTAAAATGAACCGTTGTATACGGCTCTCAAAGGGTCACCAGCTCCAATATACACTACATAACCATGACAGAATAAATAAACACAAAATTATGCATATACCCACATATATTAAAGAAACATCCTTATAATAAAGCATGCAAATGAACAATTTAATTCTTCTATTTGGAGACTTGAGCAACAAATTATGTTCACAAATTGACAGTTTGTATGTAAACAATCCTTGAGGCTATATAATTATAATCATTGTAATGCAGCCATCACACCCCTTTTTTTTCTTTTCTTTTTTATGCTGCAAGGAAGGTGAAACATTTGGTAGCACCAGACCATTTTTAAATTCAGTTTGATGCTGCCACCCAGGTCATTGCAATAATGTCAGAAAAGAACATTTCGTTTTTATGCTGCAGCAAACCATGCAAAGAACGGAATAACAAAGATAATACAATATGATAAACAAGATAGGGGGAGGGAAAGAGTATTAAAGCATATGCCTGCAGCACATGGCACAAACACAATCAGGAGATTGTCATTGCCTCCAATTAGGAATGAGCTGAAACAGAACTTGCTACACTGCAAGACAACCATTAGCAAGCTCACGAGAAATTAATAAACAAGAAGAAATCTGGACTGTCTCCAGGATGGCTGAGTGTTCCTACACGCATCAACAAAATGGCTCCAAGGTACTCTAAGGAAAAATATTTCTTCTGTCTCAATATACAAGGCTGCCTTTTTCTGTCACACAGCCATGTCAATCACAAGTTTTTGTTTTTGTTTTAAATTTGATTTATATGCCGCCCTTCTCCGGAGACTCAGGGCGGCTTACAATGTGCTAAGCAATAGCCTTCATCCTTTTGTATATTTATACAAAGTCATCTTATTGCCCCCACAACTGGGTCCTCAATTTACCTACCTTAGAAAGGATGGAAGGCTGAGTCAACCTTGAGCCTGGTGAGATTCAAACCTGCAGTAATTGCAGGCAGCTGGTCTTAATAACAGGGTGCTTTAAACCACTGTACTACAACTACAACTACAGTTGTTGCATAACAACCTGCACCTCTACTAAAATCACTGTACTTTGTATTTTGGCTGAGTAACCTTAGGACAAGATGATCTGTGGGTTCTGATTGTCTATCAGAATCAGCTCACCTCCAAAAAATAAAAGCAGAACACTTTTTAAAAGCCAAGTAGAACTTTCTAAAAAAAAAAGAAAAAGGTAGCCTTCA